TCCACAATCTTCCTCATTTTACCCACCTCGGAAGGATGGAAGGCTGAGTCAACTTTTGAGCCGGTGAGATTTGAACCGCTGAACTGCAGATAGCAGTCAGCTGAAGTGGCTTACAGTACTGCACTCTACCCACTGCGCCACCTCGGCTCTTATAAGTACTGCAGGCTAATTCTGCCCACTTCCAGGAGTTCAATCCTGACTGGCTCAAGGTTGTCTCAGATTTCTATCCTTCTAAGGTTGGTAAAATGGGGACCTAGATGGTTGGGGGCAATACGCTGACCACTTAGAGAGGGCTGAAAAGCGCTATGAAGCTGTATATAAGTCTAAGTGCTAGTGCTATTTGTGGGCCACATCACTTCCCCAGCTAGGATTCTTCCCAGTTTGAACTATGACCCAGCTATCTCCTGGCTTCAACTCCCAGAATGATAGAAGGGCCACAGGCTTTCATCCAAGGCCAAAGGACTCTCCTGCATTGGAAAGATAACGGCTAGGATTCTATTTAGCTACCGCAAAGCAAAAATGTGGAACATTTCCCAGTTTGCCCTATTGGGTCAGCTGGAGACAGACAAGGCAAGGGAGACAGTAAGCTAACTTACCCCCCCATTTTGACACACTTCAGGTATCTTATGACTACAATTCATAGAATTCCCATCTTAAGCAGGAATTCCAGGAATTGCAGCTTCCTCATTTTGGAAGGTGTCACATTGAGGAAAGCTGTTTTTTTCCCCACTTTGTCCACCCCTCAAATAGAGGCACGCTACATACCCACAACTCCAACGGTGATTGTTGTCCTGACATCCTGATTCCGGCAATAATTCGCAAGCACCTTCATGAGGCAATCCGCCCCAACACAGGCTGCACTGCCTAACAAGTCACTTGATGCTCGGGCTACGGGCACATGGCTCCGTTGCTAAAAGGGAGAAAGGAATTATTGCTTAATGTCCCCTGGCACTTGCTTTCGATGTCCCAATCTTCAAATGTCCCCAACTATTACAAAGTCTTTTTCTGTGCTTAATCTGTGTTTCCCATCTCCCAGAACCCGACAGTCTCTTTCTGCCACTTAGATCCTGTTCTGACCCCCCTCGTTCCACACCAAAGCACTCCAAGCCAAAGATACTTTACGGAATTTATTAACAGACAGACAGGTCCTTGGCAGCAAACCGGTACAGATAAGCCTTGGCAGCAATCCAGCCTGCCAAGCTCACAATACTGTTCTCCAACATTAGTTAATGTGTTGACGCCTGCAAAAGGGGCATGTGCACAACCAGTCCTTTTATAGTCTGGAGAGGAGCCTAATTACCACCAGCTGAGTGCAATTACCTCCCGTAATTCTGTAATTGTTCCTTACACCTATTAGCTCTCCTGTGCTAGGATCTAGGAACAACTCCCTTAGCTCCTCCCCACTGCTGACCTCCGGATCACACCCCCTTGTCTCCTCCCCACTGGTCCAAGGCTCAGGCGCCTCCTGGTGGCCAACCAGCCTCTCTGTGCCTTGCTCAGAGTCGGA